CTAGACTCATTTTGGCTAAAATGGAACTATAATTGAGCTGTGGTGTTGTCAATGGGTCACTTGACATCTGTAAGTTTGCCTTCTTTAATCTGGAAAGAAAATCATTGATTTGGAATTGCTTCTGGTGACTCACAAGAGTGAAGAAGCTTACAGAATGGACACTTTATCATTGAGCAGTGGAAGTCCTAAACATGTTTTAATAAATTCTGGGGAAAAATAGAACTTAAACATGCATGGTTTGGTGAACGATTAAACTACCCTGGGTACATAATACAATTATACCATACTACTGTCTATGAGACAGGCAGTGGGTTCATATGACTACGATATATAAGCAATTACCTTCTCCTATAATGCGTTAACTATAAAATACCAGATGTTTAACCCTTGCAAAGGAACACAAAGTGCTTACCGTATAATTTAAATTTTCATTTACTTGTTTGCATAATGACCCTTTGTAAGTTACATCTTAAAAATAACAATACCATGTGTTGATTTGAAGTTAAAACCAAAATTAAAAGTGCAAATTAATCTGGATCAGATGCCATCTTGCTGTATAATTAGCTGTATTAATAACCCTCTGGGCTATCACTTATTGAAGTAACTTTAGTGTACGGATGCATTTCAAAATAGTGGATATAATAAGCTATTTTCTTTTCTATTTTTACTTTGTAAGACTTTGTTGATTGTCATCAGTTTGTTACCCACTATAATATGGACATCACTATAGGACAGATGTTCCCAAATTGATATCCCTCTAATATTGCTTATTTAAATAGACATTTAAATTTGATCACTTCAGAAAATGATTTATAGAAAACATTGTATGAAACAGATTTTAGCATACTAAGAATCTCTAAAGATAAGGATTTCAGTGTCATAAAACCAAACAAATGATTACAATGTCTAGACGGGATCCAAAGACCTTGCAGAAAATTGTTGCTGAATTAGTGTTATAGACAAAACCAAATATTTAATTTGTGTAAGTATTTAATTTTTCAACCCAGTGAAATGGAATTCAATTATTAAAAAAACAAAAACAAAGGAGATATTATTTTTTAAATTAATCTTTTGGGTTTTATTTCTCTTAGCCCACAAATATTTATAATACTCAGAAAATATTTCTAATAATCTGATTGAATTTACACCATCACTACAGTCACCTGGAATGTTTGGGGAAAATGCGTATTTCTGGAGATTTCCTCAGGCATAGCATGTTTCTGGGTACAGCAGTCTATAATCTGCATTTTCAAATAGTTCTGCTAGTGTTTTCTTAATGTAGCAAATATATGAATATATTTTGAGAAATTGCTCTTAATTCTAATGTCACTGATGGTAAGTTTTTGCACGTTTCATTTGAGGGTGGATATTCAAGAGCAAGTTCCAAAATTGATGTCTGAAAAAACAAATTCTGCTTAGGCACCCAGTCAGAAATTGAAATAACAAGTTTTGTTTGGTCACAACGGGCTTTTCCATTGTCCAGTTTTTGCATGAAATTAAGGACGGTAATGAAACATGGCCCTTATAACTCTGAAATCATATGAATGTTTATACATTGATCCTATATAAAATAAAGCATCAGATATTATAAATCAGTAATCCAATTCAATTTTTTTAACTCGGAGTTTTCAGGAAGAGATTGTTTTGGACTTTCAATAATGTGTTTTAAGGTAATAGAACAACCAAATTCATTTTCAAATGCATAGGACCCATAGTCTTTTTAATGTTTTATTTAAAAAATCAGAACATGCCAGCACTCATGTTTCAAGCAATCATTCCAGTTGCCAACAAGTTGATTCAACTCATGTATTTCAGAGTAGCGTGTTGTACCTCTCAGGGGCAGACCGCCAAGTCTTTCTCTTACGGCATCTCTGAATGAGTTCTAAATGGCGACTTATTATTTAATAGCCCAGTTCTTATTCATATCAACAACAAGGACTCCTGGTGCTGTAGAGTCCATTTAGCTCATAGAGATTTCATGTGACGGAGTAGATGCGCCTAGAGGATTTTCATGGCTGTGACCTTGACGGGAGACATTGATCAGTCTTTCTTCCTTGGGCCTTATGCATGGATTAGGACCTCCAGGTTTCATTAAGCAATCAGTCACTTTAACAGTTGAGTCTCTGGGATCCTTGTTGTTCATGTTAGGTGCTCTGAAGTTATACCAACTGACAGTAACCTTATGCACAGTAGAGTAAAACTTTTGTTTGGTCCTTGGCCATCCTCACAAGCCTTGCTATGTTGGAGCCCCTGGTGTAGCCATTACATCAAGCTCATTGATGATCGCCCTCTTGTTCACTGACTTCTACTTGGTCAGTTGTATGTCCTTCTCCAGGTCTGAACTCTCCTGATAACATGGTCCCTGTATGTGAGATGAAGCTCCCCGTCTTTGCTCCTCATAAGCATTCTGGCCCTGGGCCTTCCAGCACCGAGCTGCTTGCTTTGAACATTGTGGACACCACAATTCAACCCCATCAGTTTTTCTTCCATTTTCCTCATTCATTATCTAGCTTTAGAATACATCTGAGGCGAGCAAAAGTACCATGGCTTGGGTCAGGGGCACTTTATTCTTCAGAAGGACACCTTCACTTTTTAACACTTTAAAGAAGTCTTTGGCATGTTGGGTAAGAATATTTGCCCCATGCTGTGAGTCCTTTGATCTCCTGACTGCTGTTGTCATCTCAGAACCAAACCCACTGTCTTTGAAATTTTTGCACGAATAGTACAATTGCCTTAGAGCGTTTCCAAAGCTGTACTTTTTTGTGAATACAGTCTTTCTCTTGAGGAGCAGCTGGTGGATTCAGACTCCCAGTTTTTTGGTTAGTAGCTGAACACTAACTACTGTGTCATTAGGACTCGCAACTTAAAAAATATATTCTTAACAACCCTATAGAGGGCTTCCAAGGCTGTGTAAATCTTGATGGGAGCAGTTAGCCTCACCCTTCTCCCACAGTATACCTGTGAACTTGAACCACCAACCTTGCAGCTCACCAGCCCAACACTTACTTGATAATGCCACCGCGCTCCTTAAGCAACTATAGCCTCTGGTAATAATACTGCTATTTAGAATGAAGATTACTCCCAGAAAATCTTGAGACTTATTCCTTAAATATAGCCTTTTCATTTGCATTAATTAAGACAACTATTCCATCCTCTAATTCATTATAAATAAAAATGCTGAGTTCACAAGTGGAGATAAGCTTTATTTTGAAGTGAGAAACTGGCAGTAATCTACTTAATGACAGGCACATCTTATTGCCTGAGTATTGAGAGGGGTTTTTTGCATATAGCAAAATTATATGGCACTCAATGAGCACTAATCAAGTTTTATTAGCCCCGTGGCACTAAAGTAGAAGAAAAACATGTATTTGGATAACTTCCCGAGACTTTTTGACAGTCCTCAGAGTTTTGTACTTGGGTCTCAATGTTTTACTGACAATTTCTGTGACTTCATTTAGAGAGCTGTTGCTTGTATCAAATCAGAGGCTTCTCAATATGGCAAATTAAGAGGCTTTTCAATGGCTGAGAAACAAATCATCTCAACCCTTTGTTCCCTGCATATAGCCTAAGATCAGAGATGGTCAGACTCATAAAATTAGTTGACTGATGCCATTTTCCTCCATTTGGGTTTCCTATTCCTTTTCAGTTACCTTAATAAGAAAACTACACATCTATCACTAAACTTCTGTTTTTATTTGGATTAGGGGGAGTTTACATTTCAGTGTGTCAACTCTGCATTTAACAGTTCCAGGCACTCACCTCTCCCTCATCCCCATGATCTCTCTCACCCACACCCCATCCAGCTCCCCCCCTCCTCCGCCCCCACTCCACTGAATTCTCTCTTCCCTCTTTTGGACCTTCATCCTCCTTTACCCCCAAGTCTATGCTTGTCAACCTTCTTGCCTCCCCTCCCCTGTGAACCCCCACAGTTGGTTCCCTTTGGTGTGCACTCTTGGTCTTGCTGTTTATCCTGACAGTAGCGGTCTCATACAGTTCTGTCATCTTGTGATAAACCAACTGCGCTGAGTGGCATAATGCTCTCTTGGTCCATCCATGCTATGAGGTGTTTCATGGTTTCATCTTTGCTTTATAGCAGTGCCCAGTGTATGTGCTGAAGATTCTTTATCCATTCTTCTATTGACGGACGGCCTTTTGGCTTTTGGCCAGGTTTTGATCATATATTTAATTTGAATTGTTCAAAATACACATTGTACAGGACAATCAGTACAAATTCCCAAATTCTTGCTATTGTGATGAACACAAGGGTGCATGCATCTATTTACATATCTTCCTTCTTTCTTATATATGCCCAGCAGAGGTATTGCTGGGTTGTATGGGATTTCTAAGGAACCCTGGTGATGTCATGGTTAGGTTAGCATTGGTCTGTGATCCGCCTGGCAGGCAGGTGGAAATCACTGGCAGCTCTGGGGGAGAAAGGCTGGGCTTTCTCCACTTGCAAAGAGAGTCTCAGAAACCCACAGGGGAGCATTATGCGTTAGCCTTGACGTGATGGCAGCGAGTTTGTTCGGTTTGGGTTCTGGAGTTTCTCGTGCCAGTTGTTTCCGGGGTACCACATCGCTTTCCACAGTGGCTGTGCCTGCTTGCAGAGGAACCAGCAGCGGAGGCCGTTTCCAATCCTCTGCACACCCTTTCTAGCATTTGCTGTGCAATTAATTTTTTTCTTAAATTAGACCGTTATTGTCAGTGTTAACTGATAGCAATTTCTTAACTTTTGACAATCAAATTTTATCATGTGATTTAGTATTGACTGATTTTCTCTCACCATAGCTACCTTTGCCATTTTCACAATCTATTGGTGACTGATAAACTTGAGGCTGTCTACTCAGCTAAAGTTGTAGGCTCCTGGAGAAGTTGAAAGTGTTAAGGCTGATGGATCTAAGGCCAAGTCTAATGCGAATTGTTCCTAAAGGGGTTTCTGTGAAGGAACACAAGGTACTTACCTTTTTATGTGTCTTGTCTTTCTTTCCCCCATCTGACAGCTCCCCCTACAGTTCGGATTGTGCACTCCGGCTTGGCTTGTAACATAGAGGAGGAGCGCTACTCCGAGAGGGTCTACACTATCCGGGAAGGTGAGACTCTAGAATTGACCTGTCTGGTCACAGGACATCCACGCCCACAGGTGAGTCCTGAACTGCGACACTGGGAACTTGATTTGATTTTTTTTTAAAGAGTCAAAGTCTGCATTTAAAGTATGTGTGAATGGACAGAGCATGGGTGTGCTCTACAGCATGTAGGTGTTCATCTGGGGATCACTGTGATGATCCCTAAGGGAGCTTTGGTGGTGTAGTGGTTTCATGTTGGCTTGCTAACTGGAGGGTCCACCGTTTGAAACCAGCTGCTGCCCCGTGGAAGAAAGAAATGGCTTTCTACTCTTGTGAACGCTCATAGTACTGCTCAGACATTCTAAGGGGCACTTGGACCCAGCCCTGTAGGGTTACTCTGAGTGGCATCAACTCGTTGGCCGTCAGTCTGGTTTGGCTGGGTGGTAATTGCTGACCATTGGAGCTTGAAGTATTCAAAAAGCTAAGAAGAAAAAGAGAAAGTTTTGTTTTGGTTTTTTGAGAAATGTAGAAGACACTTCTAAGGAAGCTGTTAAAAAAGACAACTACCAAAATATCTCTGTGAGATAACAATTCATATGGCAATGAGTTTATTTTAGGATGGTGAGCATGGTTTCATGGTGACATAATTACAGTTGAGGAGGCTCTCCTTCAATCGGATGCAGTAGGTCACATGCGCTTCCCTCATTCCTAGTCATTAGATTCATAGAATACTCGGGGAAACAAATGTTTGCAGGTGCTATAGGCATTCAGGCTTTCAGAATTATCCATTACAGCTTTCTTAAGCTAATTTCATAGCAGGAACAAAATTTGAGTCTGTCAAAGGGCAAAGAAATTCAACCCACATGCAAAGTAAAAGCTTGTAGGAGTGAAGGAAAGCGTTAGATATATGGCAATATTTTTAGGCTACATATAGAAGGAAACTGCGAGATCAAGACTAAAGAGTTAGTCTCTGAAACCCATCGGGGCAGTTCTACCCTGTGCTATAGGGTTGCTGTGAATTGACAATCCACTCCATGGCAGTGAGGGCTTTTGTTTGTTTGTTTGGTGGTAGCACGGTGATTAAAACATTTGGCTCTTAACCAGAAGGTCTGGGGTTGCTGTCCACCAGCCTCTCCAGAGTCTGTTTCCATATTTACACCCTTCAAAACCATTTGTAACACTTATCCTGTGTTTGATAGTCTCTGTGAGTCAGAATCTACTTGACAGATGTAGGTTTGGGGTTTTCATTTTCTGTATAATAAAATTAAGATTTCAATATGGATAAAGAACATTAAGTATGCTTTATTCATTTGCCAATTTTTGATCATATATTTAATTTGAATTGTTCAAAATACACACTGTACAGGACGATCAGTACAAACACTATGGCAGGGAAATCTTGCTATATTTTTAGACAGTTACATATTTCAAGCATTGTGTTGCAATAAAAAGAAATCCAGCTACTACAACTACAGAGGGAGCATGAAGAACAATGTGAGGATGTAAGGAAGCCACCATTCCAAACAGCACTTAACTACGCTCCTGTGGAGCCTGTCCATCGACAAAGAGACGGTCATTTTATCATAACAGGGGGAGATGCCTCATGGCTTAAGATTAAGAAAGGTGTGCAGTAGGAGTCTATTCTCTCACAATAATTCTACCATCTGTGTGGAACAAAAGTCCTGGAAGCTGGGCTATATAAAGAATATGGCACTCAGGTTTGGAGTAAGACTCATTAATAACTCACAAGATTCAGATGCTACGACTTTGCGTACTGAAAGCAAACAGAACTCGAAATACTGATGGATCAAGATCCAAAACTAAGCTTTTAATATAGATACACTGAGAGAGAGAGAAAGAGAACAAAAGAAAAACCAATTACAAGGATCCATATGTGACCTCCTACCTGGGGAACGGACAACAGAAAAGGGGGTGAAGGGAGACGTCGGACAGGGCAGGATTTGACAAAATAATAATTTATAAATTTTCAAGGGTTCATGAGGGAGGGTGGAGCGGGGAGGGAAGGGGGAAAATGAGGAGCTGATGCCAGGGGCTTAGGTGGAGAGCAAATGTTTTGAGAATGATGAGGTCAATGAATGTACAAATGTGCTTTACACAATTGATGTATGTATGGATTGTGATAAGAGTTGTGTGAGCCCCTAATAAAATATTTAAAAAAAAGAAAATCCTCATACTTTGAAGAGCATCACGATAAACAGGAAAACTGTTTGAAGTTTTCAATAATTTCATGTTCCTTGGCTTCACCATCAGTGCCGGTGGAAATAAAGAAATAGCAATGCAAAAATAATGAATTGGACTAATCTTCTGCTAAAGTTGAGCCTGACACAACCCATGTGAGATTCATTCTCCTCCAGTACATGCAATATCTGGGCCATGGGTTCCCAAAATCATTTGCCCTACTGCTCCTTTCTGGGCTGGTCGGGGGATCAGTTTTCCTGCTGATTAAAAACTTTGGTGCGACAGCAGCCCATAATCAAGGATAAAGTGAAAGATTCTGCTTTTGCAGTCTCTCTAGAGTGTTCTACTGACTCCAGACATAGTGTTGTCCAAAGTGGCAATGAAGAACGAAGTCTGCAGAAGTACTGAATGATGGCATTGGTGAGGAATATTAAGTGTTTCATAGACTGTCAGAAAACAAACGTGTCTGTCTTGGGAGAAGTCAAGCCAGTGTACTCCCAAGAAGAGGTCCACTTTGTCTCAAATGCTTTGGACATGTCATCAGGAAGAACGAGTCCCTGTGCAAGGATAGTGTGCTTGAGATAGTAGATGGTTAGCAGAAAGTTGAAGATTCTCAACCAGAAGGACTGACCCTGCGACTGCAGCGATCAGCTCACACAGTAGCAGTCATTGTGAGGATGTTGCAGGACCTGTGACAGCTTTGTTCTGTTGGGCGTTGGATCACATCTCTCCTGATATGTACTTTGGTCTTGTCTTTCGTCCTTGTCTTTTAAATGTCCTTTTGCTTTCTTAATGGATGTGCTTGTGGTCTTTGGTCATTATTATTGAATGCTTCAAATCTTGAGCTGGACTCTAAATTCAGATGATACCTGCTTATGGTTGCACTTTTATTACTTTGTTTTCAGTTTCAAGTTGAACTTACATCAACTTCCATTGATCTCTTCCACAGCTGGCCCCTAGCCTTGTTCTTATTGATAATATTGATTTTCTCCATTGTCTCGCTCCAAAATGTCATCGATTTGACCCTTTGTAATCCATCCAGTGAGGTTCACGTGCACAGTTGCTGTTTATGTTGTTGGTAAAAGGTATTTATATTGAATTGGTCATTTATATTGTAGAATTCTATCATGCTGTCTCTTACTCTCAAAAGATAGAAATTTTACTTTCCATCTACTGATCCTTCTTTGTTTCCAATTTTCCCATGCTAAAATCTAGTTACTATCACTTTGATTGTATAAGTTAAAGGTTTCAGGCTGCAGAAGTTAGCAAAAATCTTTGATTTCTTCGTATTTGGCATTACTGTTTATAGTGTAGATTTGAATAATAGTTGTGTTAACTGGTCATTCTTATGGCTATTATTCTATCACTGCCAGCAGTGCACACTTAATTTCATTGTCTATGACTTAAATGTTCTTAGGTTGATATTTTGTATATTCCAATTATTAATGGATATTTGCAACTCTTTTTTTCTCATTTTGAGGCATATCCTAATCAGAACATTAAGGTCCCAAAGGCTTTACGCAGGTAGTCTCTGTCGGGAGGAGGCAGCCTGTGTCCAGTAGTCTTGAGTGCCGTGCAATGTAAGGGGCTTATCTTTTGGGACACTATCCAACCAAATGCTCTGCTAGTAGTCATAAACTCACCCTGGGCAGGTTTCAGAGGTAGGTTTTCAAGTCATTCTTCCTAGTTTCTATCAGTCTGAAATCTGTCCCTCCTGGTGACCACACAGTGTTTAGGAGACTGGTGGTATCGCATTCACCTTCATATCAACATGTAAGCCGTTCTTGTTTGACGAACTGACCGACAAGGAGCAGAGAGTAAAAGCACCAGAGTCATGAACGTTGAGATCACAATGAAAGGGCTCAAACAAACTCAAAAGAGCGAAGAGGAACTTTATGAGAGGCAGGACCAGGCAAAAAGAAAAGTAAGCGGCGCTCCCGTTATCCTTACACTGCATGCCACCAATTCTACATGCTTTGAACTGCAGCTTCTTTCCTTACTTTCATGGTGTCCTAGCGGTTCCCGTGCTCCCCCTGGTCTGATATTCCTCCCCTCGCTACCCTGGAGGCGATGCAGACTCATAGCGACCCTGTAGGAGTGAGTAGACTGCCCCCTGTAAGTTTCCGAGATTGTAGCTGTTTACAGGAGTAGAAAGCCCCATCTTTCTTCCCTTGGAGTGGCTGGTGGCTTTGAACTACTGTCCTTGTGGATCTCAGCCAAAAGTTTAACCCATCAGGCCTCTTTCTATGTCTTTTCTTTTATTATTCACAAACTGCAATGGAGTCTTTGACTGCTGACCCTTTCAAAATTAGTCCCAAAGTAATTATAGAGTTTTGATTTGTTTAGGTATTATTTGTTTGTGTGAATTTTGTTTATTGATTTTCAGTTTCCATCCTGGAGCTCTCCTTGTGTTTGGATCCTCTGAGGGGTGAGGCGGGTATTTTTGTGGTATCTTTCTTCCCAGAAGTAATGCAGGTGTTTGCAGGTGAAAAATTAACTGGGCCTCATCTCTGTCAACAAGCTGTATAACAAAGGCTGACAGAACAGCTGGGACTTGGCATCCTGGCCAAAGACTGAAGGGCCTGCTGTTGGCAGCTGGTCCTGAGAATGATTTTTCTTGTCTGGCATCATGAAGCTGGGCTGGCTTTCTTGTTCATTGTCTAATCTGAACATAATACTAGTTGGAAATGCAATTGAGGAAAGAAGTAATCTGCAGATTCTGTAATCTGCCATTACCACCACTGCCCCCACCTCCATGCAAAACAAACAGACAAACAAACAAACACCTGTGCCATTCTTGAAACCTGTGCGTGTCTCCTTTAAGGAAAACAAAGGGAATATAGGCTTGGTTAAGGTTCCTGAGGAGGAAAGACGATGT